GTGACAGTGTTCTTTTAGGTTCGACTAAAATACTATTACAAATAATACTGTAAATTAAAATAAAACTAATTACCCACAGAAATTGTACATACATTATTTGGTAAATCATTTCATGAACAGCATCGTAAGTGTTATTAAATTACCTGAAAGAACAAAAATACGTCGAATAACACTTGTAAACAATATTTTTAGTTGTAGGATACGTCAAAATATTTTTCAAATATACTTGTTGTACTTTCACACATTATTAGGTTTAAATATATCAACGTTAGGACAGAAGCCAACAGAAGCAACAATCTTATGCAAATTTGTACTTCTTCGAACCATTTGGTTTTTTGTAAGTTGTACAAATCACCCAACAACAATGAATACAAAAGGCTTAACCGTTGTTCTAAATCACAAAGTAATTCCTGATAGGTCCTTAACAACATATTGTTTTTAACCTACCTTGTTGTTTACCTACGTGAACTACCCCTAGACCACCTCAGTGACGTCACGCTTATCCTCAGATGAACCACTCAAGGCCCGATCCAAAGCCCAGATCCGCAGTAAGCCTCAATACATAATGCAACAACCGTGTCGTTTTTAAATTTTGAAAAATGATAGCTTCCCCTGACAAATGGGGCACGGCTGTAATGTCGTCATTTTATTTCTCCCCTGGATCATCACATTTTGACACCCCTCCCCCTACTTTACAACTTTACATCTGTATTTTACCAGTGGATCTGTTATCGCGATTTAAACAACTTATGTTTTGCTGAATCGTATTTTTTTATATCCCACTTTTGTTCTTGAATCAAAATCGTATTCAGGAAACGATGAGTAGCTTACGGAAAGTCTAACAAAATGAAACTCTACAGATTTGTTTATTACGCATAACAAATACATTAACTTAAAAATCATTTAATTGAAAACATGATGAAGAAGGGGTAAGCTAATTTCTGTAATTGTAATCAACTACAAAAATGCTGTCGAATTGTCGGTCTGATATAAAGGTGAAGGAAATATTCCTGATATGAATTTGCCGTAATTGAGAAATACAAAATCAATCGACCTTTTGTATTGCTTTGGGTAGGTCTACTGTAACTATGCTAATGATGACTTATGGCTTCTTGTGACTAATGACTAGTCATCCTGCTTACTCCAAACTCTTCAACTTTAATATTTCTGGATGTTGAACAACATCCCGGAGACAATTTACGGTTTATGTTGGGATTCTTCTGTTTCCGCTGATTGCTATATTGTATCATCTCCAAACCAAAGATAGGACCGTGGCACCTACATAGGAGGTAGTGTCATCTCCAAACCAAAGATAGGACCGTGGCACCTACATAGGAGGTAGTGTCATCTCCAAACCAAAGATAGGACCGTGGCACCTACATAGGAGGTAGTGTCATCTCCAAATCAAAGATAGGACCGTATCACCTACATAGGAGGTAGTGTCATCTCCAAACCAAAGATAGGACCGTGGCACCTACATAGGAGGTAGGGGCATCTCCAAACCAAAGATAGGACCGTGGCACCTACATAGGAGGTAGGAGCATCTCCAAACCAAAGATAGGACCGTGGCACCTACATATGAGATAGTAGTATCTCCAAACCAAAGATAGGACCGTGGCACCTACATATGAGATAGTAGTATCTCCAAACCAAAGATAGGACCGTGGCACCTACATAGGAGATAGTAGTATCTCCAAACCAAAGATAGGACCGTGGCACCTACATATGAGATAGTAGTATCTCCAAACCAAAGATAGGACCGTGGCACCTACATATGAGATAGTAGTATCTCCAAACCAAAGATAGGACCGTGGCACCCACATAGGAGGTAGTAGAATCTCCAAACCAAAGATAGGACCGTGGCACCTACATAGGAGGTAGTAGAATCTCCAAACCAAAGATAGGACCGTGGCACCTACATAGGAGGTAGTGTCATCTCCAAACCAAAGATAGGACCGTGGCATCGATTTGTTACACCGCGTGTCTCGCACACGCTCGCCACAAAACAACTGAGAAATGAGAAAATGAGAAAACTCGCCACCGGTTGACGTCCTGTAATAGCTTCAATTTCTCGCGGCGTGCGAGGAAAATGCACACAAAATATAGCTTTTTGTCTGCAGGTCTTTGTGAGACATGTGCGGTACAACGTACAATAGAGTGGGCAGCATGGCGGACCTGGTGGGTTGAATAAGTATCTAATTTTATCTCATTGTTTGTAGTTTTATTGGGTTATTTAAATAATTAGATGAACGTGCAAAGTTTATGGAGTGTTTGATGTTAGAATCAGCCTTGAACAAAAATTCCATATAGTTGAATCCAAAAACTCGTGAAAATTCCACATAGTAGATATTTTATTGAACTAAAGTATGATAAATCGGTGAAAAATTTCTGTCGCGCTTAAAACACTTACGACAGTGACGTAGCCAGGGGGGTCCTGGGGGTCCGGACCCCCCTTCCGGTCCTAAATATAATATTTTTTGTTAAATTAAACGTAAAATTATATAATAATACTGGATTGACGTTGGGGTTGATTATTTTCAATGCCAGGAGAGCTAAAAAAAATACCGTTTTAGGGCTTATATTTTCTAAATTTTCCCGGACCCCCCCCCCCTTCTTCCACCTGGGCCCGGTCAGTCGACCCCCCCCATTTTGAAATCCTGGCTACGTCACTGCTTACGAGTGTCTTAGGCCCCGGCCACACGAGGCGAATTTAAGCCGCGCGGCTTATCTTCGCGCGAAGTTATGCCGCGCAAGTGCCTGGCCACACGGGGCGGATGAACCGCTTCCTGTTGGGTTTCCCAGTATCAGTACTCTATTAAAACATAGCGAGGGCCTAAGTCTAATACCACGTATCTTCCAAATATAGGGTTTTGAGATTTATAGTAAAAACAATAGATTTCATTGTCTCTCACCTAATTCTAAAACCTCGTAAGTCTATAAAAATTGGAAGTAATTTAAAAAAATGGGCAACGTAGAACTCGTATCTTGCAGTATTGGTAAACCTTCCTTCTAGCAACACGTATCTTGTATTGTTTACAGTGTGCAAAAGGTGGTCAGCTGTGCCGGTCTGTTATTGTTATGCAGTTTCATAGTGAAATACTCCCGCCGCAGCAAACCTACAGACTTAGCGAATTTCCATTTGCCTGATTGGATTTAAACTAAAATGTCTCCTTAAAAATATCACATTTATTCCCTATTTAAACAGAATTAGTTTAATGAGTATTTAGGTTTGCTGCAACAGGGAGGGTAAAAACGTTTTTTTTTTTATGTAAAATGTTTAAAGGTACTGTGGTTTAGTAAGAAATTAATGAATTTTCCAAATTTGATCAAAATATGTTCATAAACAAGCAAACTACAACAGTTGACTTATTCTCCATAAGAATAACATGGGAATTTTAAAATTACTATTTTTTTTAATTTTCTCCGTAACAATTAGGCGCATAATAACGCTTCAATATACTAAATTATTTGTTTTTTTAAGCTCTACAAAATGGTTTGAAAAGAAATTGTGAAATTTTGTGTTTTTAGGGTCAAAAATGGGAAAAACCTATTTTTACCCCATAAAACCCCCCATAAACCCCCGTTCCCATAGTCCGATCATGCTGGTTCGCGAACTCATTCAAGTTTATCCCGCCTTACACCTTCAAACCAAATTTTATCAAAATCGGATAAAAATTACTCAAGTTACCGTGCGGATGGACACACACACACATATATATATATATATATATATATATATATATATATATATATATATATATATATAGAGATATATAAAAATTTGAACGAATGGTGTTTTTGGCCTCTGGGGACATCAAAATGAAAAAGTAAATCGGAAATTTCAACATCCTTTTATGCGAAATAGTAACAAACTTTCCCCACAAGAATTAAAAATTTATGAAATAATGCTTGTTTATTAAACCATTATTTACAGGCTATGGGTTAGCCCAAAATCACAAAAATCCTGCTACAACAGCCCGTTTCCGCAATTCATCCCCTGAACCGTTGACCATTAATCCAGCCCTAGTCACTGGAGAGTTGAGGACGTATTTTAAAGCAGTCACAACCCCTTTGTCGACCGATGGAATTAAGATATGCCAATGAGCAATGTTGAAGTCCTGTCTTACAATTAGTCTCAAACCCCCCCCCCTCCCCCCACCACTTGCACCCTTTAGTGCGATGTGGTGATTGTGATCAGGTGGAATTGTTAAGGGTTACACTTGTGTGTAGACAATACTGTACATAGGCGTTAGGAGTTTAAGAGGTTACAAATGGGAATAGCATAAGTATTTAATAGGAAAAAAAATAGTTGAAAATAATAAAACATTGGACAAAACAACACTGATATTAAATTTAAACAATTGTAGGTGAGGTAGTATTTTTCACGAGATACTGTAAGGATGTTACGTTTTTATTTAATTAATTGTTGTTCACTACCAACAATGTGTTTGGTACTGAAACAAACACGTATTTTCTTTTAATTTGTCTTGCCACGAAGATGACGTCATATCAATTAGTACAGTTTTAGAAACGACATCTCCATTTTACCTCGTTAAAAGTTCGTGTGCATTCAATATTTAGGTGATTTTTAACACATTGTATACACAAACCCTTCGTTATCTAGTCTAGGGAGTTAAGGATACAGAGTTTTTATTCTGTATAGGTGTGTGACTTAGATATGATGCAAACAACCTCTTATCAAAATGATTATGTTGAGCTAAAGTATACAAATTTAAAATGTTGAAGCCACGGAATCTTAGAAATAATTTAATGGGAAAAAAATTGCTGACTTATGTTATGTATTGTTGAAATTTAAGCAAGTGCAAATTTCCATACACCATTGAATTATGGTGTATAATCCTGATAATAGAAATTTCACTTACCTGGTTTTTATGGTATCAACTTTTACTACCTATATCAAATTGTAACCATTTTACAATACTTTAGTGCCACCTAAATGTGGAGTGGAGTAGTAATATTACTGTTGGTGTCCTGTTTAGGATGGTGAACACGCATGGCCTGTCCCTAGTACATGAAGAACTTCAGCACGGCAGGTCAGAATACTTACAGTTCCTTATCATTAACCCACTAACGTAGCTGTAAGAAGATATTATAGCATTCTATTGTACCATAAGAGTAAATTATAATGCCTAAACATTGAGGACTAGATTTTGAAATATTTCCTTTTGTCAAAAGCTGTTTTATTTAATTATTAATAAAGGACTACGTTTTCATTAAATTCACGTTGATACAAGTTAATAATTTTATATCAAGTTGCCCCTCTCGTAGGCCTATATTTCTTCAAGGACAATATCATTAATTTTTAGTTGTTGTGTTGATATTGTTTTTTAATGCAGCTGTGTAAAAAAATAAGGCGTTAAATTTGTGCACCTTTTCTATAGCAGTCGCGTTATTTTTTATTCCCACGATAACTAAATTAATAATACTGTAATAGTATTCTGCTCAATCAAAACTATCAAACCTACTACATAATTGGTTGGACTAATAGAAACATTAGCTTTTATTGGCATTGGCTTTAAATAGTGCAAATATACGTTTCGTCATATTTTAAAGAGTGATGCCCATTCTAATTATTGTGTTTAATGTTGTTTACATAAAATTTCACTGATATCAACTCAATGGCTGTCTTATTTTTATTAATAGACTAATATTTAACTTGTCCATTGCACTGTCTTGAAATGCATTTAAAAAATTACGTTTAGGCCTACCTATTTTATACACGACGGAAAACAATGTTTCACAAAAAGATTTTATAAATTGCATTTAATCACGTATAAAATTAAATGAACGAATGAATTATGTACATGATTTGTTGTAATAAATATATAATTCATTTAAAAAACTGTGTGAAATGGTATTTATGCAATATGGACGCAATATGGAAATTTGACATAGTATATCGAAGTCATCCACATCCATCTTGTATTGTCTTGAAGTATTACAATTTTATTAACCATAAATGTATGTTATTTTTGTAAATGGTATTGCTGTTGAAAATAAAAATAAAATAAATCAGAGCTTAAAAGGAGATAGTTGAGGAATACCACACATGATTTTTATCGAATATTACTAAAAAGTATACATCATGATGAAGAGGACCTTTTCTACCAAAAATTGTAGAGACACTACTGGTATTTATTATACTTACGTTTTATTAACTCCCCCTCTAATATCAAAACAATTTTAAGCAAATAAAAACTATTAGAGCTCCAACATCTACTTTAACATTTAATAAAACCCAGCCCTGAGAAACCCCCGCAGATAAAGCAAACATTGTGATAAGGCTGCGCGTAATTCAGGTAGCCAATAAAAATATCGGTAAGGTGGCGTGGGGCGCGTTCACAGGTGAAGACATAATGAGGGGCCGGCCGAGCACGTGCCGCTAGCCAATCAGCGTTAAGTAGGCGGAGTCACGGAGTCGCCCGATCGCTCACGGACCTTCCCGATCTGTCACGACCTAGTCACATTGTCGTTTGTTCATTATTGTCTTTCGGTTTTCCTCCAGAGCCTACTTAGGGCGACTTTTTCTCTGAGATATTCAAGTTGTCAAGTTTTTCCAAGTGTTTTCGCGTGTGTGATGTTGCCGTACCATCAGGGTGTTATGGACTACGCCGTTACTTCCTCTTTTCAGCGACTTCCAGGGCCGCACTTGCAGACTTCCGCCTTCAGCCACTCTTGGTTCGTACCGGCGGATCTCTGTGTACCCTTCAAACAGAATCAGACGCTCCTCGAGCCAGGGCATGTCATTTTGTCTATATACTTCACCGTAGGTTATAGTCCGTTCCTGTTTGGTTGGCCAAATTGTAATCTAACAACATACCTTTAAAATAACCATGAAAACCACTTAAAGCACTTCAAATATCACTAGCTATTATAAATTAATATATAAACTATTGGAGACCTCACAACTAACCTATACAGCTATATTGCTACCAACCAAACGAGAACGTACAGTAGTGCACTTTGTTGTATGAGCTATTGTGTGTCTTGTAAATACTTACGACTCGTAAAAAATACGAAGACTGTTCTCTCTCTTGTAAATACATCAAATTTACCAGTAGCATTTGTTTCACTCAGTTTATGAAGTCTTTTAACTCATGAATGAATTGTTGAACTACACTTTCATACGATCAGAAAGCTGGAACTTGTAAACAAAATGATATAAATACACCATGCAAGTTTGTACAGAACACATGTGGCATGTTAGTCTTGTGGTTAGTCTTACAGTTTGGTACAGTACTACTTGCTTGCAACTGGCGTTACAGTCGAGGAAGCGGATCTGTGTATAAGTTAACAATTAGTATATTGGTTGACCAATCATACTGAACTGACGTTGAAGTATTTTATACAATTTTGCATAAGGGTATTACAAATTTGCATGTTGACAAAACTATTTAAGGGTGTGTTTTACGATAACGGTCAAGATATTCCAGCTTGATAAAGTTGACCTGTTTAACATATGTGATAAGTATTGACGTTCTGCAAGGTGGTAATATTGGAAGATCTCTCTTTTGGCTGAGGTTGGAGGAGGGGTTACCCGTTGTGTAAATAAACAATGTTAAGTGCAAATCAAATGATGTCCTATGTAAATACTCACATATTTTAATCTCTCAATTACAGACCAAAAGAATCTTATACCTCACATTTTGAATACAGTAGTAGACGAACAAATTTCGAAGATATAATATGATTTTAAACATTTACGGTATCTCAAAATATACAACAAAATCCTTTAATGTAGCCATTACATTACATCATTTCAGCTCTGGATTTTGCACGTAAAGTGCACACTGTAAGATCCTCCATGGTATTAAGAAAGTTTCAAATTTCGGAAATGTGATGAGAAGTGTTCTTCAGTACCCCAACATCCAAAAATTCAAGAGCGTTTATTTTCTTTAGGACATCATACATGATGACAGAATCATTTTAGCATACCGAGGACATAATCATTTGGTTCTATCGGATTAAGAGCTGGTCTAGTGGTAGAGCACAGGGCTTCTGTCCCAGAGGTCCAGGGTTCGAATCCCGCCAATCACCAATCATTATGCGATAATACCGCAACCCTTTGACGCCAACTAAAAGACATTTTAAACGGTGCTACAGTAGGAGGAATAAATATTTTGTTCTATCATTCAAAACCATTTAGGTTTTCTACATTTATACCAATATATTATCCGGAATGTTATATCGATGGCGAGATTTGGCTAACAGCACGTGTAGCACGTGCGTCACAATACTGCGTTGTTCTCAATGTTTGTATACAGTGGTGGTCCAAATACACGGGTGGTCAGCCGAATGCACATCTGTCTTGCTGTAAACTATGACCTAATATGTCGTCATACAAGCAAAGCTAGCATATCCACTCCTAAACACATAGAACAAATACATTCTGTAATTTTGTGTTAGAACACCTAATTACGTTGTCCTCGTAATTTAAACACGCTCTATTTAGATCTTACTTTACAGTGCGAAGAGGTTTTGTAAAAAAATTCCAATTTTGTGTTGACTCATATACACGTTGGACTTAAACATCATTATTAAATGCAATACCCGTATTTCATAATCAACTGAAGTAAAAATCGGTACTTAGTTCTGACTGCACTAAAATAATGGGTGAACTGTTTTTCTATTAGTCTACGCTTGTATTTTTAGTAATTTTTCATCACATTCACATTTTATTTTAGTCATCTATCGTTCCTTTCTCCCCTTTAACAAGTTTCTGGTAGGCCTAGTTCTTCCAGCCATTCCTGGAATATTACCAATATTAGGCCTACCATTACATTAACCATTATCATAATATTACCATTATTATATTAATTTATTTTTTTTAGTAATGGGGAGCTGTTTCAGCATATACATTAACATTCATTTCACTAACTAAATCGGTTGGTTATTGTAAATCGGTGTATGTTGGTAAATTGGTTGGTTTTATCAATTACAAAACACCTACATTATATGTATTATCTAAAAAACTATTTTCATTTGATCTTTTGGTAAAACCCGAGTACTTTAAAACAAGCATTATAAAAACACAGCGAGACAATTTTTTTTAATTAAAAATTTGTATTAACACTTTTTTGTTTGGAGTTGTATATGCTCGTAATTCTTCGTTTTGGAGCAAACGTTTTGTTATTGGAAAGAAGAATTTATAAAAAGTCAAGTTTTGAACTAACCAAAATCACGACACAAGAATCACCTTAATAAAAATTAATCTTTTGTCTTTAACCTTTTGAACAAAGTATCTGAGTACTAACTTAATTGAGTCAACTGACATTATTTGAATAATTACAATATTTCTATGTCAAAAAAATCAAGTTGGCTAAGGACATTTTTTTCAAAATTTTTCAAATTCGTAATGTAAAAAAATTAAGTAGTGTAAATTTGTATCTACGTAATAAGTAAATGTTTGTTTTGACTAATGTAGAAAAAGTTAAAATACCGCTATAAAGAGAGGATGTTATTACAGCTATTAAGCCCTGCAATATAGGACCTGCAAGACTACAATACAATTCAAGGACAAGAATATTTATTCAATGACAGTGTGTCCGTGTAAATACAAATGGTACATTATTATTTACGTCACTTGGCAACATTGTAACCATACTAGCAGCACGTACACATACTAACAGAGCTTTAGTACATAGCATGTGACAAACTAGGCGGTTTTGTAGTTCCTCAACAGGTTTTTTGTCAATTTAATGTTGTTTTTTTATTTTTTTTTTTGATGATGATGTTTTCGACATAACAATTCGCTAAGTACCTGAAATTGACGATGTTCAGAAATTCAACTCCTAAACACCTCCTAAACAAACTTACAGTATTGTTTTCTAGCTGTATGACGGATACCGCGTGAATAATTTCTCACATTAATCTTCATACCAGATTCCATTATGGTGGGTTTGGGCGTCAACCACGTCGCCAGTTGTACCGTTGTTATACATGCTGCCAGACCTTTCGCCCTTACTATTAAGTGGCATCCTCAGTGGCTCTAGTTAGCGAGAATATATAACTGACGACGCAGTTGACTCTGTGG